ACAAAGGATAGTAAAAAACAAATGCAGACAACATCCAATGAAGATGCAGAAGAAATCAACAATGAAAGGATTCTACTAGAACCAATTCTACATGACACTGAAGACTTGGATTCACAAGAGGTAGCACAAGGAATGAAGAAGGAAGTACAACAAATGAAAGATCAATCAGTCTTTACAGAGATTGATGGCAACACATTGACACCAGAACAACAAGCAAACATTATCGAGTCTAGATGGGTTCTCAAACGGAAACACCACGAAGTGCGAGCACGCATAGTAGCAACGGCGCCATTGCTTTGCATACTGAGGATACTCCTCACAATGGCATTGGTGTACAACTGGTCAGTCAGCACAGGAGATGTCAGTATTGCATCTCTACATGCAGAAGCAATCTCCTACAACCTGGTAATGCAACCACCACATGAGTTCTACCGTGATGACAACAGACACATAATGCGGCGGCTGAACAAAGCCATTTATGGCCTACGATCCTCACCAAAACAAGGGCAAGACCACTTAGCACACATCCTCACAGTCACACTTGGGCTTGTGAGACGCACAACAGAAAGCAATGTTTACAGGTCAAGAGATTGTCAGGTCTACATCATGATCTATGTAGACGATCTCCTCTTCATAGGAGTACAGAGCACCATCAACACACTCTTCAGCAGAATACAAAAGGAAGTCCTGCTGAGACACACTGGCGACCTAACAGTTGGGTCAACAATACATTTCCTTGGCAGGAACATCTCACACAAAGGAGACCATATTGACATCAGCTTGGACAACAATTATGTTGACATCACCCTGGAAGAATCAGGGATGACACATGCAACCCAGCACCATCACCAGGAGTACCACACATGAAAGGTACAGCAGAAGATGAAGCACCACTAGATCAAGAACAACACAAGAAATACAGGCAGCTTGTTGGCAAAATACAATGGCTAGCATACACAAGACCAGACATCAGCTATGGAGCAAAGGAGCGAGCAAGATCACTAAAGGGACCAACACAACTTGACAACAAGAAACTCAAGCACATAATCAGGTACCTTAAAGGAACAAGGTACTCTCGACACAACCTGCGACCAAAGGTACAAACACAGGACAAACGAATTCCACCCAACATTGACACACACACAGACGCCAACCGGGCAGCGCTGGGCATCGTGTGAGACAACAAGGAAAGCACAACAGGATTTGTACTGTACTCCTTTGGAGCAGCAGTACATTATGGCAGCAGAACACAAGCAACGATAGCACTTTCATCAGCAGAATCAGAGCTGTACGCGATTGGTACAGCAGCACAGGAGAGCCTCTACATCAGCAACTTCATCAAGGAAGCATTTGAAGTACGCACCAACACCAGGATACACACAGACAGCAGCGCAGCAAAGCCAATAGCAATGTGAGAAGGTACATCAAAGAAAGCAAAGCACATTGAGCTGCGACACCTCTTCATACAAGAACTTGTCAAGAGCAAAATCATCACCATGCACAAGGTAAAGTCAGAAGACAACACAGCCAACATTCCTACCAAGTTTGTTGGCAGCGACACACTCAACAAGCACCTGTACAACGTTGGCCTGTGAGGCCACACCACAACAGTTTCACACTAGTCAGTACAGTAGTCAGCACAGGTTGTTAAACAACAGGTGCACAGTTCACACGTGTTTGCTTTACCACTTAACAACCGGCATTGTTACCTTTTAGGGTAGATACGTCAGTCATGGATCGACCCTGTCTTTATGACCGCTACATCTTTTCTGGGAGTGTTACAACCGCTCTTACAATCGTTTTCTGCATAATACATGTGACACATTGATTTGTCACATTCCAGTGAGATACATTCTTTCTGATACATCAGACCATGGACATGCAGGCCTTGACCGCTCTTGTTACATCGGATGAACACGCCGGAAAGCGCTACGACACGCAGTTGCTTACATCGCTTACATCAGTTGGGATTTACAACATCAGATGCGTCAACGGTAAGGAGGCGCACAACCTCATGGACTGGCACATCAGCAAGACTGCAGACACAAACAACGTCTTGTGCTTCGCCAGGACAGCCGAGGAGTACATCAGTTTGGGAGGCGACTACACAGGGCTTCAGGCCAACATGAGGAAGCCGCTTTGGGAGCACATGATCTACAACACCTGTCCGTTTGACTCCCTTACAACATTGCTTTACCTCTTCAGCGAACATCGGCTTCCAGCCGAACACCAGGCACCTGATTGCCAGGCTCAGCAAGGGACAAATGAGTACATTCAACAGGGGGTACCAGGTCCTCCACCTACAGCACCACTACAACAAGAAGTGGCAGTTCGATGAGTTCGAACAGCAGTCGGTACACATCTGGGAGCTCTGCCAGCACAACATCTTGGACATCTTCAAGAGGTTCTCGTGGACAAACGGTTTTGCATGGGATTACAACGCCATCATCAACCTGAACGACCTACAGGTTGCAGCAGATGATGATACAATCCATGCGGCCATGACACAGGTCATGGAATACACTGGCCTACAGATCCTCAAATACATCAGCACAGAGCATCACGGCGCGGTGCTACATCACCTGCAGACATCGGGCAATGTGTCCGTCAGGACACAACCCATCAAGGACATCGAGCGCATCAGAGGACATCAGGATCATCACACCTGGTGCTACATGCAGAATCAGGAGGTCTACACGGAGTACACCAACACAATGAACAAGTACAGGGAAGAGCTCATCATGCAGGCTACAACCATGGATGCAGTTACAACAACAACTGCGAAGAGGCCCAGGAATGCGTGAACATCATGGTTCATACAACAGCAGTTTTGAGGCGATACATTTTCCGCACTTGAGTGGCACTGTCGAGTAGCTTGGTACAACATCTGTTTGAAACAGCAGCTGCTTGACACTCGCTTTTGACACCACAAACCACAAGAGATTTGTACAGCCTAGTACACACTCTGTGTACAGCAGCCACATCATCTTTTCCAACAGTTCAGGAGAATGTACATGAGATACATCATCCTGAGGAGGCGTGTTAAGATACATGCATCCCAATACATCTGGAATGCTGCTTGTACAATCAAGGCCTTGAGCCTATGTACATCATAGGAGCTACAGCCCTCGCCCATCAGGACAACAAGTGCCGAGCTGTCACATCACAGGTTTGACACATTTGGCTCATCAGGTCGTTACACAGTTAGTTCCACTTTAACATATGTATGTATATATATATATATATACACGTGTATATATGTTCAAATGGGTTACGTATTGTTTGGAAATAGGGGCACACTCTCAGGGGTACATGAGAAGTCCTTGACAATTTCAGCACAAGCCCATTCTCAACCTGCACTTCCGGAAGTCTGCATGGAGGGCATCCTTCAATTCTTTTCACTTTCGGTATGTGGCCGATAAAGTCTGAACTTCTCTGTTGCCGCTAAAGTTGTCTTCCCAAAAGTACAAAGGCCAGCAACTGTGAGTCAAAATGCTAGGGGATACCCGGGATACCCCATCACCCGAATCCGTCCCGACCAATCCGTCCCCCGCCAAGGCGCCACCACTCTGGGGCCTTCCCGAAGGTCCCGCCACGCCGCCGCCAGCACAGCCTGGAGACAGCGATACTCATGTCGAATGAGACTCATCCAAAGTGAGTGGTGGGGAGGTCCTTTTAGAAAACTTTGGAATTGTGAAGAATACCCGGATGGATGAAACCACTGTCCAGGGTGTCATGGTGTAGATGGGTCGTACCAGTAAATGATGAGAACCACACTCAAACCAGCGGAATCCGTTTCTACTTTTCAGCAAACTGACCAAATGGACACCGTTGATCAGGGGTATCTTCAAACGGGCCCTGTTTGCGTTGATCTTGTTGTGACTTCTTTCCGACTTGTTTGCGCTATTGTTGTGGCGTTTGAGTTGTTTTTGTTCCTTGCTTTTTGTGTTGTCTGAGCACGGTTTGGGGAGGAGTGTTCTTGAAAACAACTATATGAGCCATGGTCAAAATATACTGTTGCGGCAAGTTCCCTCCCCCCCGCCCCTGCCCCTCCGCCCTGATGTCCCAAACCCCAGCTTTACCATAGTATATGGCTGTGTCTTGAAAGAGGGAAATCATTCTTGAAACTTCAGGAGTACCCTTGCTAGGGCCATGTTCAGAAAAACCAAAGGGAAACTGAAAGGGAACACCAAAGCGAAGCCACCATCTTGTGGAGTTTTTTGGAGACAAACCCACATGCAAGAACCACAAACCTCCCGCCCGTAACGCCTCCTGCGCCGGCCCGCAGGGCGCCGTAAGGCTCGCGGCACGCCCGGAGCTGTTCACCTGAGTTACGACACACACACACACACACACACACACACCACACACACACACACACACACACACACGCACACGCGCACACACACAAGCCAATAAAAAAGACTTGGTCAAATTGAGACAACTAGAGTGAGTCCATCCTGTCCACTTGCAAAGAAACCAAAGAGACGCCAAATCTTATCTTCCTTGGAAGACGCCTATGTGGGTCGTGTCTAAGGCGTCCAACTGTTGGAATTTGACCCAAGGTGGCTTAAACCCCGAAATCAACCACCTCCACCTGAGTCATCAAACCTGGCACTAAGAGTGTCTACCGATGGAAAGAATCAAAACAACTTCTTGCCGCACTCATCTATGGTCGGGACTGTCCCTTGGCACCCTCTTTGTCATGGTTGAGGGTTCCCAGTTGCTCCCAGGCCAGAACGGAGGGCCAACTAACCGGTTTTGCGGTTCACTTGGGTCTGCGTTAAGACAGGAGACATCAAGAAGGGGCGGTGTCCAGTTGGTTTCCCTTCAAAACAGCCTAAAAATACGGTAAGCTCAAGAAACATCATACCAAATACTCACAACCTTGTGCGCATATGATCAGGGCCCTCGCCCCTCCCCCATACCAGCATTTCGTTAAATTTACTCAGAATATCATGGTCATCGTTTAAGCAACCGAAAAGTCTGGCCTGTAGGACTTAGGAAATGCCATAAATATGGCCTGGCCTACGGGTTGGCATGCTCCTCAACGTCAATATCTAACTTTTCAGGTTTGCGGTTTGAGTGCGCATTTTTTTAGGTTCCTCTCGGTTTCCCATTGGTTTCCACTGGGTTTCCCGTCGCACGCCGGTTGGTCTGGGCTTCCCAGCACAGGAGCCCAGCAGCCGCGGCCCCTCCTCCTCCTCCGGCAACCCAAGGCGCAGGACGCCCCCGGCCTGATGTCAAGGCATCGTCTGAAGAATTCGAGAAAGGCTTCTAACCTAAGAAAGCCAACCAGTTGTTCTCGGAGTCCCTCAAAATGAACCCTATTTCTGACACGATTTTTCCTGAATACGGCACCGACATCCTATACTTTGTTTCCGGAACAAACCAGCGCCCTCGTTGATTTGTCGGCTTGGCGTACAATCAAGCAGTCTATAAAATGTATACGAAGCGTCTATAAAACGTTGAGGATTCGGACAAATACGCGTTGTTTGACTGATTGGTGTAGTCCCAGTCAGGGAAGTCTTTGTCTTGGAGGGAACATGGTGATTTGTGAATCTTTCAACAACATATTGACGGGCAACCATGAGGGTATTTTTCCTGAAATCAGGACTCGACAAATCGAACGGCAACAAATCCAAGACAACAGAAACCCACTCATGCATACATATATAATTATATATAGACACATGCATTGTATATGTATGTATACATAAAGAGACATGTATATATATATATATTAATATGTATCTGGAGAGGTCCCAGAACACACTGAAAGGCGCCTGGCAAGGCGTGTCCCGAATTGCTCGTGCCCCAAACGGTTCATCTGGACCCATTTTTTGCGGGGCAAGGCGCCCGCTACTTCCCCATCCAGGAGGCCTCCGCACGGGCATAGCCGTCAGCGCTGGCGTCGAAACTTCGGCAGCGACCCCGGCTGGACAGCATCCCTGAGCGTCTCTGATTTCCACCAAAAGCTTGCGTCTTCTCGTTGAGGGCACCCTATTTGGTGGTTTCAAACGGAAGCCAAACGGAGAACCGACATTGCAGGGGGGGCCCCAAAAAGGACATACACAAATGGACGTTCACTTCGGAGGAGACTTTACAAGGGACACAAGCTGCGGCGTCACAGAAGAAAAAGGCCGCCGATCGCTACTTGCCACTCAAGTGAATTCAATACTCTGAAACCAAGTTGAGTTCGACTTTGGTTTGATCAACAAACTCTAGTTGTTGCTCACTTTGTGTTGCTTTTCCCCTTTCCAAACAAAGAGGTCAAACTGTGCTTAGGGATCACAAGAGTTCAGGTCTCGCCAAAGAGCAACCAACAGCCCTTGGCTCTGTGATGCTCACGGCCGTCCTGCGCAGCTGAAGTAGATCTGGGCGCTGGGGTGCAGCAACAAATTCACGGCTGCCACCAGCGCCTCTTGGCCTCTCGAAAGCAAAAACCAGGCATGAGAGGAGGACGCCCAAAAATAACATGCTCTCTGGAAGATTCAAAAAGGGTGCGGCTGCCTTTTGAGAGGGCTCCAAAAAAGGCTGGAGCTGTATTGTCGAAATACATTCCCCTTCTCCTCCCCCTCCTCCTCTTGGAAAACAAGAGATCGAGAAACGATTCGAAAGAGCAGTGCCGTTTGGAAAAGTCGACCAAATGACCAGACACCTCGGCAGGTTCACTTATCCAACGGGCAAGATTCACAAAACCCATGGATTCATAAACTCATACGTCGCAAATGGGGAACTCCTCCCCTTGTAACTTCTCAAAAAAGCCGGGATGTTGCGAAGCTTTTTGGAGGGTCCCTGATGGGACACCTTCCCAACCCCCCGCCTTCCCAGCCCCGCCCCTCCCGCCATCTCTCCCTCTCTCGCCTTCCAGGGCAGCCAGGTGCAGTGCCGCGAGGGCGCTGGAGCAGGCGCAGTCCACCTGGAAGCTCGGGCCCACCAGGTCGAAACCTCGGATGGCGTTTGAGGCCCTGGGCGACGTGTTTGAGTGGTTGAGGGGGGGGGTGGGGAGCCTACGGGTGCCTTGGAAAACAGGGGGGACAGAGGGACAGGGGGGACAGGGGACAGGCGGGGGGTTTTGTGGGATGTTTTTGCAGCTCAAAAGAAGGAGGTTGCAAAATAGACCCTAAGTCCATTAAGGGGGAGGAGGTCAGGAAACGAAAAGTGGCATGAAACAGAACGTGAAACGAGGGAGCCTATTCGTGTTGCACACCCGTGGCCCAGTCCCACCAAACCACAGGCCAAACGACCGGTGAGGGGTATCCAAGGCCTGGCATGCTTTCATGTTGACTGTCCACAAGTGTAAGTGCGGCCGGGGGGTGTTTCTTCTTGGGGTGTAAAGTTTATTGGGACCAAAAGGGAAGCACACATCCAGGAGATTTCGCTGCTTCCCGACAAGTCCTACAAAGGAGGCCCACCGATGCTCCCGACAGCCAACCGGCCGGCCAGCCAGCCAGGCAGGGGCAGAGAGCAGGCAGGCAGGCAGGCAGGCAGGCAGGCAGGCAGGCAGGCAGGCAGGCAGGCAGGCAGGCAGGCAGGCAGGCAGGCAGGCAGGGCAGGCAGGCAGGCAGGCAGGCAGGCAGGCAGGCAGGCAGGCAGGCAGGCAGGCAGGCAGGCAGGCAGGCAGGCAGGCAGGCAGGCAGGCAGGCAGGCAGGCAGGCAGGCAGGCAGGCAGGCAGGCAGGCAGGCAGGCAGGCAGGCAGGCAGGCAGGCAGGCAGGCAGGCAGGCAGGCAGGCAGGCCGAGACAGAGAGACAAAACTGGATTTAATTAAAGCAACACTCTCGAGGGAAGGGTCACGTTTCCCTTCTGGGCTTCCCAGTCTGTGTTGTCTTAGTTGGTGGCAGGGAACCTAGATGGGTATGTGTCAAAATACACGGGCCAAAAAGGACTCTGGCTGCCCTTTTGCTTTCCCTTGAAACTAACAAAGGGTACCCTCCACACACATAGATGTCGAACCCCCCCCCCAATCCTGGGCCGTCCCGCAGAAGGACAAGCGGTTGGCCCCGATGCATGCACCTCACATGGGGACCCAAAAATCGTCGTCGGTTGCTAGGTGAGACATAATGACAACTCGGAATTTCAAGGGTCCACCCAAAAACCATGCAACTAACCCACAGGGCGGCACTTCTCTATGCCGAAAAGTATCCCTTACCCTTCACCACCAGTTTTGATGGCCCCTTTGGTTTGCCTCAGTTCCCTACCAAAACGGTTGAGGGTTCCCAGTCGGTCCAGGTCAAAACCCACGGGGGGAGGGCAACCTACCAATTGAGTTCGCTTGCGTCTGTCTTAAGATCGCACAGGAAAAGAGTGCCTTCCGTTCGGTTTCCCTGGAAAACAACCCAAAAAAGAGTAACCTCAATAAATGACACACGTGCTATTTGGCAACAATTGGGAGGAGAGGATGTGAGTCATAATCAAAACCTGGTATGAAAGGAGTCAAGCCAGAAGCACGCAAAGAATGAAAAGGGCGGCCGAACCTGTTTCTGGTGGAAACTGCCGCTGCCCCCCTACTACACTTCACCCGCTCAGGTGCCGATTGCGGCTCAGAGGCGCCTTTTTGTAGATGACCCTTGACTTCTGGTCGTGGACGGAAGCAAATTTCCATGATGCAATGTGTGCTTCAGTAGATCCAACGTGAGGCAGACCATCCTGGTTTAGATGCTAAGCAATCACATGCTGGTAGGCTGCATGGCAAACAAGATGGTCGCACCTGAGAACCTACGAGACTACTCCATCCAGCTAACCTAAAATGACACCCATGATCACCAGGGTCCTGTTTGGAAACCCCACACTGAACCACTGGTTTTGCTACCCCTAACAAGCTCAGTCAGTGACTCATCTTAAAACAAAGATCGCGCCCCCAGCCTCTTCCATTCTTGCTGGATATTCAGAGCTGCCACGGAGCGGACTTCTGTGATTCTTTCGAGTTACTGGCTCAAGATGAGTTCGGGTGGCAACTAAAAATCGAACCACCCTTAGGACAGCGGGATGACCAAAGCCAGATTAGCAGCCATCTTCGCAAAGGAGGAACAGTTCAGCATTAAAAAAAGCCGGACGAGGAAATGATGCCACCACGGAGGGCCTCCGCTGCAAACCCGACGGGTGTTGACTTAAAACGCTGTGGCAGCTTGCTTGAAAGTGAAGTCGTTCTATTCTTTGGCTGCCTGTTCTTTGCATCCCCCCCCTTGCGCCTATCTCAAGGCTTTCGTTAAACCCCCCCCCCCTTTCATGAAGGCATCCCACGCCATCCCCTCATCGAGGAAGACGTGATGTGCCACTAAATTTGCAATGGAAGGCTCTCGTCCCTGTGCTTGTGTGGGACGTCGCCGGGGATGTTGCCACCAGCAGCGGCCAGTCATTCCTGAAGTGGCTCGCCAGCATCGCATGCTTCTCCCGTCCAAGCCCATAAAGGGTATCCGGTATACATAAGAACAACACATCACCTGAACGATTGGAAACCACTGTGACAGGTGGTTGTAATCCTGATTTCCTTCACGGAAAGGTTTCTGGTTTGACACAATGCCAAATGACAGTCCTCATTTGGACTAGAGGTGGCCTAAAATTGGGCAAATCCAGCTCACTGTTTGCCCCCAAAGGCGCATGGGTCCAGTGGCACTGTGGGCGGTCAGAAATATATTCGATATTGAGCGCACATCCCGCAACCTGAGAGGATTGGCGTGATACTATACTCGTTGAGCTGCGTGGCAAGAATCAAACTCCTCAAAAGCAGGCTGGCCCGGTCCAGAAGGACCGTTGCAACAGCTATCTAAAACTCCATACCTCAAGCCGAAGGCTTGGCTGGTTGTCCCTTTCGCACAACCCCCCATTTGCCGCCCGAGGCCTTCATCAATTTCAAAAAGGGTCAATGACGCGCACTCCTATGGACCCCAGAGCTTGTTCGAATGATGTGTTGGTGGCACATGTGGAAACCTGTATTTCTTTGGGTTCCATGAAAAAAAACCATTGGCATTTTCCTGGCGCCCAAAGGCTAAGTTAGGCCCAAGCAGCCCCTAGCCTCTTGAGACATGCTTCCCGGAGCCTGGGGGGAAAAGTAGCTCCAAGCCCGTGCTGGATCCGTTTCCATGGAGAGCTTGCCCCCACATCGTTCCAGGGTTCTTTAGATTTCATCCGCAAACGCACAACTTGGTTTGTGCCCCCATACCTGTTTTAATGTGTCATTCAAATGACTTCATGGCCAATAGTAGCAATATTTCATGGATATGTTGTACAAATCCTTGCATACTAGTTAATGTCAGAGTAATCAATGCCTGAAACTATGTCTCGCATGATGGATGCATCGGCAGCGACATCACCAACACTCGTTCGCTCAGTTTTGCTCAAGGCACTGGAACTGTGCCAGCACCACCGCCACGTCCTTTCCGCCGCCAAACCCATGGCCTCCGCAGAACTCCGCGGCGCAGCGCAGCAGCAGCCGCTGCCCGGGGTCCACCACTGCGGCCTCCGCGGGGGACCTCGGCATCGAAGGGGCGCGGTTTGTCGCGGCTTGGCGCCGAAAACGAGGGGGGAAGAAGAAAGGCTTGCAGAAAAAGCGTGACGATTCAAACCTGGGGCTGAAATAAGTTTTACCATCACCGACTCCCCAGATCTTGAAGGGCGAAAAAAATCAACTGTGCCGCATTTCAGGTGGTTTCGTCTGCAAGGATCGAGGCGGTGCACTCTTGCTTCTTGCCACGATCGCCTCATGTCACGGGATCACCTGATACTTGCTTCCTGCGGGGTGGCGCTGCATTTCTGATTGTCTTGAAGAAAGTCATCCGAATGCGAAACTGAGGGAAGCACCGCAGTGCTTCAAGCGTTGTTTTCCTGGCCAGTCACGCTTCTCTGACTCACCAGCGTGGGCCATCTCCGAGCCCAACTCTCGTTGTGGGGCCCAACTCTCCACACCCCGAGTCACATTTCCTCCGGATTCCCCACCCCATTTGACTTGGAGCCTGACATGGACGTGTCGACTGGCTGTGGGATGTACTTGCACGACCACGTTTGACCACTTCACTTCATCCGACTTGAGGATTTGTGTGTCCCAAACCAAAATGACTAATAATAATAATAATAAAATAAAAATAATAATAATAATAATAATAATAATAATAATAATAATAATAATAATAATAATCAATCAAACAATCATAATAACAAAATAATAATAATAGTACTCATCATAGGATATTCATGATAAAACAGCGTTGGCAGCCACCACGAGTGAGTAATCAACAACCATTGAGAGTGTTTTATCTGAATCAGTGCAATTACAACGCTCCTCTCTTCCCACCCCGGACTTCCGACTTCAGTCGGGCAGCATGTGGAAGACTTCCGCCTGGAACAACTCGAGGTCCTCTAAGAAGACCCCGTGCTTGGCTGTCGACCCCAACTCCTGGCAAGGAAACTCTTTGACACAAGCTGGTCAGGCACCGGCCCTCAAAGTTCATGGCAAGAGTGAATGGCCGAGTGTGGAAACTTCTCGGGAACCTCTTGCATCGTTGCCGACCGGACAAGACACCCACAGCTGTAGCAAACAACAAAAGGCGAACCCAGCACTCCATCGAAGGAAGACCCCACAGCCCCGTCCACGTCCTCCACGTCCCAGCGCGCCAGCGGCACCCGCACCGCCGCGTCGCAGCCCGCCGCCCCGGCGGCCAGCGCCTCGCCCGCGCCCAGCTCCGTGCGCCAACAGAGGGGCCGCTCCCAGCGGGCCAAGGAAGCGGCGCCTGCAGTCGGGGACCCTAGGAATCCCGGATCTCCGTCCCAAATCAAAAGTTGATGACCCGCAAGTACAGGTGTCAATTGTTTGACCTCGCATTTGGGGAACCCCTTTTAAACAAAGTCAAAACCTGGCTGTCAGACATCTCCGCAACTATCGCAGGCCGGGCTGTCCCCAACCTTCAACTACTCAGGGCTTTCATGGTGACTCTAGGCAAACAATTTTATTGTAAGCCCCAAAACCCAAAACCCCATGGGCTACAAGGTTTTTACAGTTTTGCCCATGAATCACAAACAAAGCGTGCCAAGCAAAGCCGAGAAACCAGGCAAGGGCTTCGGAGGAGTGGGCGAAGGTGCCAGGAAGCGCGCAAGGGACCCCACCTGGGCGCCAAGAAGGCGACAGGGGTGTTTATCTGAGGACTGGACTCAAACCGTTCGAGCAAGATGACGCGTGTCCCGCAAAAGGACCTGGGAAAACGGGCAAATTGTCTGGGTTTGTGTGGAAAATGTACTGAGCTTCGCCATTCCCAAATGGACCATGGACTGGTAATGTTGACCGAACCTCATTGGGGAAACCGACTCAGCAGCAGAAGCAGCAGCAGTACCACCGCCACCACCACCTCAAGGCCAGTCTTCCCAGTGTTAGACATCCAATTTCACTTGGCGAACTCCTGCCAAGTTCCCCCAGACGAAGCAGCCTCGGGGGCCAACGCTGAAAGGCCAACCTGCTGAAAGGACAACCTGCTGAAACCCGCTGAACATCCGAAGCCTTGGTTCGAAGGGGTCGGCCTTCAAAACCCAATCGGGCTGCGCCTTTTGGAGCCCGTTCACCTTGCGCCAACCCCTCCAGGTTTCACGCGCTTTCCGCCTTGCGCCTAACGCTTGCCGAGGGGCCGTCGGATGGTCCAGCGCCAAGGTCCGTGGCAATGGGCGCTGGAGTTCCTCCCGATTTGCATTCGGGGGCTGAAGTCTATGCGTTTTTCACCGGGGACTTCTCAAGATTGGGATCCCCTAAATTGGTTGGTGCCCTTTTGGTTTGCCTTTGTAGATCGACACGGAACCCAAGAATATCTTCGCTTTGTTGAGCGATCTTCGAGTTGAAGATGTTGGGGACCCGCTTTTGGGTTCCAATGTGCAGGGGTGTGCGTGTGGCAACCTCGCATACAAACCACCGCAGTCGCCTTTTCAGCACATAGGTGGATTCCCATCATGGTCTTTGTCTCCTTAGTACTCGGGATCACCTCACAACAGTTTGGCAGGGGCTCATTGACCAGCTCTGAAAGCCCGCGCGGTCTTGCTTGCGCGTATATGTGCTCACAGCCCAAGTGAAGAGGATTTTGCAAGTCTGCCGGGACAAGGTGACCTCACCCTGCCCCCCATGCGGAGAACTGTCCAAGTGATCCCATGACGGGGGTCCGCTCGGCGACCCGGTGGGCTTCAGATCACACGGTGAGAATCAGCTTTTTGACCGCGGAAGGTGGCGAAAGGTCGCGAAAAGTAGACGAGGAGTCAGGCACAGGCCTCGCCGGGTGCCATGTCCCGCGTGAGGACTCAGCGGATATGAGGGCATTCAAGTTGGCACCTTCTCTTCTACAGGACCTCCTACTCATTGGCGCGGGGTGGAAGCACCAACTCCAACCACTGGATTTCTTCTGGTGGGAAAAGAATTGCAGCGTCCTGAAAGCAATGTGGAAGCTGAGGTCGAACCCAGTTGCTAGATTCGCCCCATGATGAGTCTTGCGGGGCTTCGTCTTCGTCGTGCTCACGTGTCCAACTTGCCCTCCGTTTCGTCCACGGTAAACTGGCCAAAAACTGCTTCCCTAGCAAGCTGGCTTGTCAAACAAACAGCCCTTTGGATTGGTGGATGCGAGAAGTGGGTTCCCATTTGCCCTCTTCAAGAACCAGGGGTTCAATCGCCCAAACCACCCATCCAAATCACCACGTAAGGGTTACACTACCACAAACCAGGCCAAACCACAGGGAAAAAAAGGAAGAAAAAAAAATACGAAGAAGGGAAAAAAGGAGAAGAAAAAAAGAAGAAGAAAAAAAAGGGGAAAAGGGGAAGAAAAAAAAACAGGAACCGACGGCAAGTCTCTCGCACGCGAGAGAAGAAGCCTGGGCGAGGAGGACCCGCAGCACCTCGGCGCCTTGGGAGGTCATCCCGGCCTGCAAGTCTAACATCAAGAACCCCACATCTTGGCTGTTCAAGCTAGTAAGTGGACGACAACTATGGCGATATTTGCCAACCAACTGCAGATGCCTCGAAGCATGAGCATGCTCGTGCGACATCTGGCAGTTTCCTGTTGCCATACTGTGGATGGAATAAAAATCCTGCACCAGTTCGTAGGTGGTTTATCCAGTATTCATTGGAGTGCATTCATTCAACCATTCCAACTAGCGCAGGATTTTAACCATCCACAGTATGACCTTGCAACCTTACATACCCGCCATGTGGAGGTAAAGAAAGGGGTGCTTGTCACTTGCAACCTCCCCCCGGAATGGAAAGAATTGTATGAAAAGGGTATGCACTTCTGTATGCGTGTTCACGGGCATTTGACTTCAGACTGTTTTCGGTGGTTGAGTATACTGAGTGTTCCCCTCAAGACTCCAAACAGCCAAAACCTCGTCCGGTTGTTAGCACAAGGAGGTATGGCATTCCATATTTGAAGCCTCACTGACTCTCTTGCCGACAAGCGCAAGCACTCACTGGACTCGAAGGGAAGAATATCGTGGAAGTTGCGTCCTTGTTCTTATTTTCGAGCTTCACTGGATTCCTTAGAACAACGGGAGCATGTCGGGCTATGCTGAAAAGTGAAGGGTTCCTGGGCAGACAGAAACCGAGCGATGCCTGCCATTCAGTTGCTAAGTCGGCACTGCTCTTGTACGCGCTTCGTGTTGCTTGACCTGGCAATAGTCGCAACTGCGTTCCGAGTTGGGACAGAATGAGAGGCTTGTGATCGGCATCTCCTCTCGGCTCACCATTCTTATCTTTGTTCGGAGCTGAGAGATGCTGAGAGAAGAGAAGCAAAAAAACAATGCACACAGAATGCCCACCTCTGATTCTTGTCTCTGATCCATTCCCCCCCATTTCTGTTTGTGGGAAATGGGACGAGAATAGGATGGACTTACCCGCAAAGAAACGATGCCTTGCCTCCCTTAGTGGACTTCCGCGCTGGAATGAACAAGTGAAGAGACGGATGGAATCTCTTCGCTGAACCGGAGAGGCCGTTCGAATGGACCCGATTGAACCTCAATGGGCCAAAGGGCCCCTTGTCATTGTATGCTTCAACATCTACTTAAGTGCTTTTCGCTGCCAAAGGATCCCTCAAATCAGATTGCAAGTTGGGGCCCGTCCCGCGCCTGCATCAAGGGAGTGTCATCCTGGGCGAATGGCGAACTGGATGTCCCCGTAGGAATATCAAAAGAAAACTGCCCCAAATGTGAATCTCAAGAGGGAAACAGATTTACCAGGAGGAAGAACGGAACAACCTCGCCCAACACTGGACGTGTACCACTTATGTAAGGGTGAGCCTGGCCCAGCGCCATGCTTAGTACGTGTATGGCAGCGGCACGTGGCTGCGACCGTTTGTTCCATGTCGTCACTGTCCCGTGGCCTGAATGCAAAAGGGGGTTCACGAATGGCAAAAGCCAAGAGGCGGAATGAAGCCTGCTTCCCGGAAGCAAACCAGAAGAACTTACAAACCTTGCAACGATTCAGGGCCCGCGCCGCGGGAGGCAGAATCGTGCGGAGTTGTTTGTTAACTTTTGCCAGGCAAGCAGGAAGCGTAATCACGAAACTTGCCAAACCAGTGATGCATCACCGGTCATTAAAACAAAAGACTAGCAGGTTGACACCTCCAGCATCACTGCTTTGATTTGGTGAACCATTGAATCTGGGATCCGTGGACTGAACTGGTCAACGCCACATTTGTTTGTCCCCATTGTTGTGAAGAAAGCGCGTTTCCGTAGACGGGCTGGTCCGTAGACTAAATTGGTCACAACAAAGCTTCTCCGCTGACTAAAAGTAGCTGTTGCGGTTTCCAAACTTGACTGGTCAATGTCATGTGGCTGCATGACATGCATCAAGCCTGCTTGCAGACAAATTACGGAAATGCACCAGCTTTGATCAGTATCACAGTTTTCCGCTAGATGTGAAGCTGGTCCGTAGAACAGTTTGCTCCACAGCCCCAGCATCACCAACATTTGTTTGTGTAAGGAACACGTTTTCCACGAACTAAAAAATGCCTAGACTAGCTTGGTCGAGGTCCTTGACATCACCAACATTTAGATAAAGAAAGCGCTTTGCCGTTGACGAAAAGCTAACGGTTTTCAAACTTGAGTTTGGCACGTCGCTCGGCGGTTTGAAACTCCCTTACTAGGGGAATTGCAGAACTATTATCAAGGACGATGAGATAGACTATTACATGTGTTGAACACAAAGCACATGTCCAGTAGCATGTCAAAAAAGACTGAGAATTTGCAAGGCTTAAGAAGATACAACATGTTCTCCAAATAGAATAAATATTCTATCTGGGCATAAACATATTCTATCTGGGCATAAACTGGACTGAACATATTCTATCTGAAAACACTATCTGAGCAAAAAAGATGCTCTTTCTGATTGGAAACCTGCATGTTTCTAGGAAAAGGATTGAAAAAAGCAATTGTGCTATCTGATCAGGTAGAATATGTCTTCCAAACAAAAAGAACTTGGTCATAACTTTCCGATCAAACGTATTTAACCCATATCAGCTACTCAACTTAGTGGTGCCAGTATTAAATCTGGTATTGCCAACATCATCTGGCTTGGGTGCCGTCCATGGCGTGCGTGGAGTGGAACGGGTGTGCTTTGTCTGTTGGCAGGTGTGCAGCCCATGACGTCTGCCACAACAAAGATCAGTCTGCCCCAAATGCTGGGAAACGCACAAGAAAAAGGCAAAAAGATACGGGTATGGTAAAACCCCTGCTAACAGGTCCAAGATATATATATATATATACACATATATATATATATACATATATGTATATATTTATATACATATACATATATATATATACATACATGATGCATTGCCTCTAGGTCTTGATATAGGGGTGAGTAGCCTTGATGCTTGCAAATCGCATGCCCGAAAAGGCCCTTGAACACAGTTCCGTTCTGGTATCACGTCCAGGCTACATGCTTGGACCTCCCCATGCTTCTTTTCCTTGTCGAACATGAGCCACCAATCCCGGTGACCCCATGAATGCGCCAAAAAGTAAATGCTGTCTGACAAGATGATAAGTTAAACAGCGATCCACCGCCACATCAGCCAGCCACTTTAAAAACCACAAAAAACAAACTTGTCTGAATGTGGTCGATCTAGCCCAAACCTATGCACATAAACCCGCAAGGCCGGTCATGCTTTTGGATGGTGGGGACTGTCCGAGCCTCACCTTCGGGACCAATACTCGCATCCGGCTTCAAGAGATCTCAGAGAGGTCAAAGACCCGCCAAAAATTTTCCCGAACGCGAAGTTCCTATCTGGACGGGGCCGACATGTTTGGATCCGAGCGACCTCGGCTGGAAGAACCTTATCCCCCCTTAGAATTGTCCAGTTCATTCCAGTTCTGTAGTCCATTCCAGTTCTTTCCCATGGCGGGTGGCCATAATTATTTGCAAAATCACCCTTGGACTGAATAATATTGCATTACTCTGCTGGCCTAAGGAATTTCGGGTCCCGTCCGGAAGAATGGTTCTCAAAAAGAGGACTGGCTCAGTTGGAAAACCACTCTACGGGAAACAACCACTGCAGATCAAACCTTTCCGTTGGCAACAAATCATTCATAGCCATTCCGTGGAATGGCCTCGGCATATGTGTCCTTTGGAAGCACTGGGGCCCCCCCGATTGGGACGGTGTTCTGTATGGAAACCCAAAGGAAGCCAAAAGACTCCGAGCCAGTGGAGAAACACCTAACATGATTTGCTCCTGGTTGCGACTGTTTGATTTGGATAGTCCCGCCTTTGTGGGGCAAAAAGCCACGCGCGTCGACAGACCGTTCAAAAGCCGTCCCCTCCGCATATTAATCACACGGACTACTCATTCGCAAACCTACCAAATCCACAAATCCACAACACACACACACACTCAGTTAGTCTATTTTGCAGCACAACCTTGGAAAAAGCTGCCCCCTCAAGAAGGTGATTGCGGAAGAAAACAACAAAAGATGCTTAGTCCATGGTCCCCGCTTGAGAAGGATCGCAATGGGAAGTGTTTCGTCCCCAAGCGGCTCGCGCCTTCAGATCTTCCTCCAAGATGCCGAGCGCCTCCGAGGCCACCCGCCGCACCTCCGAGTTTCCACGGCGCGGAGATGTTCGGAGACTCGGGTTCCGCGGACTCTCCGTCGAATTGGTTCCGAGCGCGCGGGATGCGTATTAGCCATCCCAAAGTCCATTAGACGTGGCGCAAGCTTAAGGGCATGGGCTTTGCCAAAGGTCGGCGCGGTTCTCTGATCCCTTTCCTTGGCAGCGACACGAGTTGCCTGCTTGGAATGCTAAAACTACCGGTGCAACAGAGATTGACATAGCAAAAAGTACCTCAACTACATCAAATGTGGGGAACCGAAACTCATAATGTTTGGGTGATGGCACACAGTATCCGCCAACCATACTTGCAGTCTGGGGATTTGCTGCTGGGCAAAAGAAGATATTCATCTTGAAACTGTCACGGACCTGGTCAAAGATGCTGTCAACAACAAAAACTATTTGAAGTACTATAGTACTTGCAGCAACTGCAAGCAAGTCTAAACCTGCAGGGACAAGAGACAGGCAAACGAGCAAAATCGCCGCATGAAGTTGGAGGAGCAAAACAAGCATCGAAAGTGGCAAAAGCCAAGCAAGAAACTTACCTCGTCTCCAAGGAAGATTCGTTAAAACATATTGACATTCTCCATAGCCCGTCAGCCGATGGCTAAAGCCAGCTTCTGTTACCCTCCCATTGGCCCAAACCCCCTTGGAACCCTTGGAATTGGTTGCGCAACCCACGGGACTTCGCTTCTGGCTCACATCCACTTCCCCAAGCCTTCGGAATGGCACGCGAGGCCTTCCGGCGGAGAAACGAAGCGGGCTGAAAGATTTCTCCGCGGGAGGGGCGTCTTTCTTGGGCTTTCCCGAAAGCATCGCGAAGGGTTCTTCTTGGACCACTTGCTCAGCAAACTTGCTCAGAGAGCTCACAGAGAGAGAGAGAGAGAAAGCTCTTTAAACTTGCGCAGACAAACTTGCTCAAACAAACTTGCTCAGCGAACTTGCTCAGAGGAACTAGCAAGTTCTGCAAGCAAGTTTCTCTGGGCAAGATCTCTACGCAAGTGGCTCTGGTTCTCCGAGCAAGTTCCTCTGTGAATTCCTTGTAGCAAGTTCTCTCAGCAAGTTTCTCCGTGCAGGTTCTTTCAGACGTTTTCTGAGCACAAAGAATAGAATGAAATCATAATCTTGCGTTGCGCTATGAGGATGTGCTCTTGCATATCGCTCAGTCAACTATGCTTTCGGGTCACCTGACTTCTATTTACTGTAAGCCTCTCAACGAGGCGTATATCTGGTCATGTCGATTTCTTCTTTCAGATTGTACACTTCAGGGTATTGCTTGTCAATTGGCAGTGCCGCCTACTTTTCACCTCACAATCCCGTGCCTCTCAAGACGCTTGTTGCTGGATTGAAAAAAAGAGGCATGGCCTCCCGAAACCCTTCCACGTAGGAGCCTAAGGCCTCTAGAAGGCAGCTTGTCTCGCACGGTGATGGCTCAACCCAACAAGGGAACCTTGATTTGCCATCAGGGCAACCCAAAAAGGAATCTCGAGTTGCCATCAGGTCATGGTTCAACCCAAAAAGGAATCTCGATTTGACATCAGATGCGGGTTCGACCCAAAAAGGGAACTTGTACCCAATAAGGGAATCTCGATTTGCCATCAGGTCATGGTTCAACCCAAAATGGAAACTTCGATGTGCCATCAGATGCTGGTTCAACCCAAAAGGGGAGCTTGTACCCAAGAAGGGAACCTTGATTTGCCATCAGGTGATGGGTCAACCCAAATTGGAACTTTGATTTGCCATCAGATGCCGGTCCAACCCAAAAGGGGAGCTTGTACCCAAGAAGGGAACCTTGATTTGCCATCAGGTGATGGTTCAACCCAAATTGGAAACTTCGATGTGCCATCAGATGCTGGTTCAACCCAAAAGGGGAGCTTGTACCCAAGAAGGGAACCTTGATTTGCCATCAGGTGATGGGTCAACCCAAATTGGAACTTTGATTTGCCATCAGATGCCGGTCCAACCCAAAAGGGGAGCTTGTACCCAAGAAGGGAACCTTGATTTGCCATCAGGTCATGGGTCAACCCAAAAAGGAATCCCAATTTGCCATCAGGTGATGGTTCAACCCAAATTGAAACTTTGATTTGCCATCCAAATGCTGGTCCAACCCAAAAAGGGAACTTGTACCCAAGAAGGTAACCTTGATTTGCCATCAGGTGATGGGTCAACCCAGAAAAGGAATCCCAATTTGCCAGCTGGTGATGGTTCAACCCAAATTGGAAACTTCGATGTGCCATCAGATGCTGGTTGAACCCAAAAGGGGAGCTTGTACCCAAGAAGGGAACCTTGATTTGCCATCAGGTGATGGTTCAACCCAAAATGGAAACTTCGATGTGCCATCAGATGCTGGTTCAACCCAAAAGGGGAGGTTGTACCCAAGAAGGAACCTTGATTTGCCATCAGGTGATGGTTCAACCCAAATTGAAACTTTGATTTGCCATCCAAATGCTGGTCCAACCCAAAAAGGGAACTTGTACCCAAGAAGGTAACCTTGATTTGCCATCAGGTGATGGGTCAACCCAGAAAAGGAATCCCAATTTGCCATCTGGTGATGGTTCAACCCAAAATGGAAACTTCGATGTGCCATCAGATGCTGGTTCAACCCAAAAGGGGAGGTTGTACCCAAGAAGGGAACCTTGATTTGCCATCAGGTGATGGTTCAACCCAAATTGGAAACTTTGATTTGCCATTTGCCATCAGATGCCGGTCCAACCCAAAAAGGGAACTTGTACCCAAGAAGGGAACCTTGATTTGCCATCAGGTCATGGGTCAACCCAAAAAGGAATCCCAATTTGCCATCAGGTGATGGTTCAACCCAAATTGAAACTTTGATTTGCCATCCAAATGCTGGTCCAACCCAAAAAGGGAACTTGTACCCAAGAAGGTAACCTTGATTTGCCATCAGGTGATGGGTCAACCCAGAAAAGGAATCCCAATTTGCCAGCTGGTGATGGTTCAACCCAAATTGGAAACTTCGATGTGCCATCAGATGCTGGTTGAACCCAAAAGGGGAGCTTGTACCCAAGAAGGGAACCTTGATTTGCCATCAGGTGATGGTTCAACCCAAAATGGAAACTTCGATGTGCCATCAGATGCTGGTTCAACCCAAAAGGGGAGGTTGTACCCAAGAAGGGAACCTTGATTTGCCATCAGGTGATGGTTCAACCCAAATTGGAAACTTCGATTTGCCATCTTGGTTCAACCCAAAAGGGAACTTGTACCCAAGAAGGGAACCTTGATTTGCCATCAGGTGATGGGTCAACCCAGAAAAGGAATCCCAATTTGCCATCTGGTGATGGTTCAACCCAAAATGGAAACTTCGATGTGCCATCAGATGCTGGTTCAACCCAAAAGGGAGGTTGTACCCAAGAAGGAACCTTGATTTGCCATCAGGTGATGGTTCAACCCAAAATGGAAACTTCGATGTGCCATCAGATGCTGGTTCAACCCAAAAGGGGAGCTTGTACCCAAGAAGGGAACCTTGATTTGCCATCAGGTGATGGTTCAACCCAAATTGGAAACTTCGATGTGCCATCAGATGCTGGTTCAACCCAAAAGGGGAGGTTGTACCCAAGAAGGGAACCTTGATTTGCCATCAGGTGATGGTTCAACCCAAAATGGAAACTTCGATGTGCCATCAGATGCTGGTTCAACCCAAAAGGGGAGCTTGTACCCAAGAAGGGAACCTTGATTTGCCATCAGGTGATGGGTCAACCCAAATTGGAACTTTGATTTGCCATCAAATGCTGGTCCAACCCAACAAGGGAACTTGTACCCAAGAAGGGAACCTTGATTTGCCATCAGGTGATGGGTCAACCCAGAAAAGGAATCCCAATTTGCCATCAGGTGATGGTTCAACCCAAAATGGAAACTTCGATGTGCCATCAGATGCTGGTTCAACCCAAAAAGGGAGGTTGTACCCAAGAAGGGAAAAATGGAAACTTCGATGTGCCATCAAATGCTGGTTCAACCCAAAAGGGGAGCTTGTACCCAAGAAGGGAACCTTGATTTGCCATCAGGTGATGGGTCAACCCAAATTGGAACTTTGATTTGCCATCAAATGCTGGTCCAACCCAAAAAGGGAACTTGTACCCAAGAAGGGAACCTTGATTTGCCATCAGGTGATGGGTCAACCCAGAAAAGAAATCCCAATTTGCCATCAGGTGATGGTTCAACCCAACTTGGAACTTTGATTTGCCATGAGATGCTGGTTCAACCCAAAAAGGGAGGTTGTACCCAAGAAGGGAACCTTGATTTGCCATCAGGTGATGGTTCAACCCAAATTGGAAACTTCGATGAGCCATCAGATGCTGGTTCAACCCAAAAGGGGAGGTTGTACCCAAGAAGGGAACCTTGATTTGCCATCAGGTGATGGGTCAACCCAAATTGGAACTTTGATTTGCCATCAGATGCTGGTTCAACCCAAAAAGGGAGCTTGTACCCAAGAAGGGAACCTTGATTTGCCATCAGGTGATGGGTCAACCCAAATTGGAACTTTGATTTGCCATCAAATGCTGGTCCAACCCAAAAGGGAACTTGTACCCAAGAAGGGAACCTCGATTTGCCATCAGGTGATGGGTCAACCCAGAAAAGGAATCCCAATTTGCCATCTGGTGATGGTTCAACCCAAAATGGAAACTTCGATGTGCCATCAGATGCTGGTTCAACCCAAAAAGTGGAGGTTGTACCCAAGAAGGGAACCTTGATTTGCCATCATGGCTCAACCCAAAATGGAAACTTCGATGTGCCATCAGATGCTGATTCAACCCAAAAGGGGAGGTTGTACCCAAGAAGGGAACCTTGATTTGCCATCTGGTGATGGTTCAACCCAAAATGGAAACTTCGATGTGCCATCAGATGCTGGTTCAACCCAAAAAGGGAGGTTGTACCCAAGAAGGGAACCTTGATTTGCCATCAGGTGATGGTTCAACCCAAAATGGAAACTTCGATGTGCCATCAGATGCTGGTTCAACCCAAAAGGGGAG